ATATACAGAGAGAGAGATAAAAAGAGTGTAATTTATGTATAAAATATTTAAATACATTTGTTTTACATTTGCTTGCATAACATTATTTATTTTGCTAAACTTTTAAAAAGTTTTTGTTGGAAAGCAAAATATTATAGTAGTTTTTATATTTTGTATTTGATTCTTTACATTATTCCTATGTATAAACAATTTCTTACCTTTTAACAATTGCAATGTAATGATTAAATTGTATGAAATTTTCTATTCTAAATTCTATGTCGAGTGTCCATTATTATTATGAAAGTGTTTATATTTCAGTTTTCAAGAGATTTCCCCAAATTAACCGCCAAATCCAGCGCATGCGTCCAAGACTTTCTAACAGTATTCGTTCCGTCGATGATTACAACAGTCGTGAAGAGGTTCCAAGAGGTGCTGATCGTTTATTGGTGCACCTAACAATGCTGCGTTGCCACTCTGCTTTAATAAAATATTACACAAGCTTCTTCACTTTAGAATCGCTAAAATGCCAGATTCACGTTTAGATTAATTAGGAAATACAAGGCAAATAATTAGTTCTTACCATGAGAAATCTTGAATAAAAGTCAAATATTGAGAACCATTTTTAGATATTTAAATAATTTAGAAGGCGATCCCATTATTTTGAAACACTATTATGATTAACAAATGCGCTTTTGAAGAACTTGAACGATTTAACTCGGGGATAAATTGTAATATTTTGTAACTTAAACTAAACCAAAAAGATTTAGAAAAATCATATGAGTGTAACGGTATTAACGTTGAATTTTTTTTTATTGTGAGCATGCTTCTTATAGTCTACTTATGCTGAAATCATTAAAAGCATAAATTAAAGTATACTTGGTATTCCGCAATCACCGATCTTTATAAAAATTTCTAGAATTCTTTCCAGAACTGAACTAAAAACTATGAGAACAAATTATGGGTCCATATTAGGAGCCACAAATAAATGTTCGGATGAGTTGCGAATTAAAAAAATGCTAACAAAGTCTTTCAAATCAGTAGCGAGGAAAGCTGATTAAAAACCAGTTTTACTACCTACGCAAATCTGCAGGTGTTTGAATTGATAACTTTTTAAATTCTAACAATTATCTGCGATCATCAAATGGATTTTAATCTTTCTAATTCTGTCTTCTAAATTGATTCGCTAGATTTAGATAAAGTCTCTTCATCTCGCTTAAATATATAAACCTAAGGTTTCTGATGTGTAAACCTTATTTATTCCCTTTTTGTCAATATTTTTTAAAAAATATATAAATTGAGCGCGACCATTATGAAACAACCTATGTATGTCACTTGATTAAAAACTTCCTTCTCATCAAAAATATACAAACTGGAATGGACAGGGTTCAAGTGCTCAATAGCAGGCACCCATTTTCAAGATTTGCCAGATATAAATGAAAATAAGAAAAAGTGATTTGAAATATAAAGCGTATAAATTACCAACGAAAAATGGAAAAATAACGGCTAGAAACATCACTTGAAAATCCACAGTAGTTGAGAGAGAAAAAGATGAAAAACAGATTCTGTTTCCCTTCTTAAAGAGATTAGTTCCTCATCACCTCGGCGCGTGGTAATGCATTTTTCCCTGATTTTCCCCTTTCGCCTTTGTAATTTTTCATCTTTGTTCTCTCTCGGCTACTGTGGTTTTTCTAGATTTGTTTCCTACTTTTATTTTTCCATTTTTCGTTAGCAACTTCACGTTTCATATTTCAAATCACTTTCGTTTCTTCTCATTAACGTCTGGCAAGTCTTGAAAATAGGCGAATGTTTTTGTGCGCTTAAAACATGTCGACTGACAGCATGTTACATTTTTGAAACGAATGAAGCTTTTAATCAAATAATATCCATTCGCTTCAGTTTCACTATTATTTATTTAACCTATATTTATAGAATTTAGATAAATCAGTCTTCAATAGAGGGTTTCTTTTTATTAAACAAAAACTGCGTTATAAAAATTATTGATTGAACACCTATCGAAGGAATCAAAGGAAAATAATGGAAAAAAATCAACAAAAAAATTCATTAAATTACATTTATATAAATTCAATTATTTTAAAAGGCCTTTCTATAAAATATAGTAGCCGCAGGAAGAGTTACATTCCAGTTGGAAAAATTTTAATCAATGACTCTGAAAAATTTAAATATATATCTGCAATAATTAAACAACCTTATATAATTTGGACTAAAACATCATTTACTTAAAAGTTATCATACATAAATGTTTATCCCCTTTATATGATTATTTAAAGCCAAAATGGATTCTTTTAATGCCTAATCAAAATTTCTTAAGATTGCTGTTGACCAAGCTTTATATTCTAAAAATATAAGATTTCTTTGAGAGTGAGAAGGATTATTGCCTTGCCGTAAACATAAATTAGTTTTGAAAATGCTGAAAACGATGGTTTTTTTGATGTATTCACTTTTTTTCATTAAAATGCTTTGTTTTTATTGATTAGTATTTTTTAAGTAGTAATTCAGTAATTCATAGTATTTCCTGTTCGAGCATTGCAGATGTTTTGCTATCCAGAAGCGCAAATTATTATAAATCTAATTGCAGTTTTTTAAAAAAAAATAAATGTTTAAATACTTGTAGATAAAATGCCATTTAACAGAAACAATCTAAATTTGTGGACAAACATCCCAAATAATGCATCAAATGACAAATAATGCATACTGTTAAAGTTATTCGTACTGGCTAAAAAAATCAGTTAAACTTTGAACTATAAAACCTGTTTTTTTTTAAAACATAATACGGAACAAATTTACTGTAAACTTAATAAAGTGAAAAATTGAACCATGCAAATTTGCACCGTATTATGTTTTGGACCACATATTATGGTCCAACGTTGGACCGATTTTTCGAAAAAATAAATACGCATATGCTTTATTTTTATCGCCTTTTAATTTTTTTTTACTTGTTATGTTGCAAATCTTAAAGTTTATAATGTTGATAACAATTTTGATTCAGAAAAATATCTGTACTAAGAAAGTCGTTTAAAAAATTATTTTTTTCAATAATAAGTAAATGCACAAGTTATAAAAATATGTTTTTTGTTTTACAAGTTAAACATGTTATATTAATAACAATTTCAAAATATAATCAATTAAATAGCCACTAGTAGATAACTGCAACTAAATTAATGTTCTTTTAAGCTATATGATTTTTGATGTCGGATTCTTTTTTATATCCTTTAAGCTTTAAAAAAAGTTTAATTAGTTTACTCTTAACTTGCTAATGCAGCTACTTTTAATCTCAAATTTAGCTAATTTCAGTCACTTATGAATAACATTTAAAACAAAGTCATAATCATGCATTTCTTTCAGCATTTTCAAAACGAATGACACCCAGCTTCCAAACTCACTTAGATCTACTATCAGCACATCACGAAACTCTAAGTAGCATAGTTACGACCGTTTCCTGCACTATATGCACAAGTCTAGAAACACACGAACAGAAAGAAGCTTTTAATGGCTTCCCCTAAGCACGTTATTTCACTCTCTTCTTTCCCCCTTCACCTTTTAGTGTTTTGGTTTGAGGTAAAGGAACAGCCACATATATCACTCCGCACTGCTGAATCTACATTCATTTCCTATCCTTTCTTTTAAGAATGTGGAAAATTGATATTCTTTGCATATGTTGAGTTCAGAAAAATGAAAACATGTTCGTTTTTATGTGCTTATTTGTTATATTTTATACACAGAATATGCATAGCGAAAATATTTGCGTATGCAAAATGGCGTACGTGACAAAAAGAATCGAGGGTGGGGCAAAACACGCTCTCTCAGCTTTTAGGGATTAATTTGAATTCTTTAGCCAAATGGGAAACGTATAAGATCGGATTCCAAAAGGAGAGTTGTTGTTTTGTTCTCTTCGTAAATATTTTAGCATCGTTGTTTGAATTTGCTACTTGTTTATTGTCAGTAAACTCAGATAAAATTGTATCCTAGATTTCAGTTAATAGGAAATGCAAGTTTGTAATTCTTTTGTTTAAATAATGAATAGATAATGTTTAAATAATATTTATTTAAAACCAAATTGGAATGTGAAGACATGTGAAACCATGTCAATGCGAAGTGTTTTTTTTTAATCCAGTAAATTATAATGATTAAATTATTATAAAATTTTAATTGTCATTTTATATTGTCAATTTATATTTTCAAAGTAAATTATAATAAAGTTATAATTTACTTTGAATAAACGTGCATTTTCAACTATGTAATTTCTGAAAATTTATCGTTATACCACAGATTGCACATATTACTAAAAACTGTTGCCTTTTAGTATAATTTGAACTCAATCTATCAGTAATCACTATAATAATGACCTAACAAATTTTCGAGGAATAAATATGTATCGTAATTTTAAACTTAAACACACATAAAAAAAACTAATTTCACTTTGAACTTCGAATTTTAGTGTCACTTTTTTAATTGTGATATTTTTACAAAAACAACCAATGTAGTGAGAAATTTTAGTGATGTCTAAAATTGTATTTTTTTATCGATTAAATGTTAAATTAATAATTACAATAAAAATTGTAGTGAATGAAGAATATAATTAAAAAAATTAGTTAAATAAGTTAGTTAGTTAATAAGTCAAATAAGTTAGTTAAATGAGTTAAATTTGAAAGTTTAAAGATAAACACATAATACTTGATTTAAAAGAATTTGTTTTTGTAAATTTTTCAGCAATTTTTTAATGCTTTCGCTTGAATTTGAAATAAATTTATTTTCAGTTAATTCAGCTATTTCTTTATATCTTAATATTTTAGGGTATTTTTGAAGTCCATGGTTTTTACAAAAAAAAATTATCACTTACATTTTTTTTTAATAAATTAGTTAAATCAATTTCAGTTACAGTAAAAACTACTAATGATAAAGTTTCTTAATGAAATGAAATATTCTTAAATTTTATTTTAATTTAATATGCTTAAAATTTTAATATCGTGAAACATATTTAAATTCTTCATTTCATGATCAAGGATGAAAAAATGAATTTTTGAACTGTGCTGAAATTAGTCGCAATTAAATGCATCATACATGAATTTCAAAAGCTTCAAATCGTACATGCCGAACATTTATAACTTATTTAATAACTTTCTGTAAGTTATATCAATAAAAAATTTAAATTTTTAAAAAATATAAAAAAATTTTAACAAAATAAATATGAACTTTTTTTGTTGAAGAAAAAGGTTTATTATTAAGCAAGTGCATTTTAAAAATATATAAATGAAATATTTATAAAATATTCTATTTTTTATTTTCTTTAGTATTAAATAATCGTTTTTTATTGTATATCTAATAATAAATTAAAATTCTAAAGCAAAGAGAAAAAAAAAGTAGTGCAGGAAAAATTCGAAGGAAAAATTTTCATAACATTTTTAAACTGTTGATTTCTTATTATAGTTTTTTGTATTAAAAGAACAGTATAGTCTTAAAATTAGTGTTTTACTAGAGTATTGAAGTGTAAAAAGAGCATACAGTCTATAATATTTTCTAAGTATCAAATAAAGATCGCGCTTCTTTTTCTTACTTCGGAAGATATTTGTCTAAAAATAAAGTGTAACTTTTTTTCAAGGAAAGTAATTCTTTAAAAAAGTTTTCTTAGATTTAAACACACTTTCTTTTTTACATTACACAAAGAAAAACTAACTCTAATTAGTGATTGCATAATCCAACCTATAACTCGCGTAATTAATACGTACTTATTACTAAACTGCTTCAAAAACTTGATACTTTACTCGAAGAAGTTTTAATTTTGGGTTAATTTTAAACCTGTAGTTTATGGAACTTAATTACATTTTCGTCGGCCACAAATTGTTCAATAATTTGTTTTCTGGGTAAAGAAAAACCACCCTTCCATATAATTAGCATAGAGAGCACGAGCTTTTTTTCCCATCATGCCTTCGCACAAAAGATCGCCACCGCTCCCGCCTCTTTTGCTTACTACACTGAAAATGCTATTAATTTTTATTTTTTCTTTAATGCTATTGATTTAGCTTTACAGTTTGGCGAGAAAGTTTGAAAAAGTAAGTACATGTGCGTATTTTCATGTTACAGCAAACAAAATCTAATAAACCACTGACTTTGGCGAAATAGTTACCTTTTTTTCTGTTTAGCGTGGAACAAAACATTTAACTTCGAATATCTTTAAGTACTTTATTCTGTCAAAGTAAACAAAAGCTTATTTATTTACCGCTTATTTTTTTTAATATTATGAGTAATTGTTATTTGAGTTTAAAATTAAAATTCGGTTGATATTAATTAAGTGGAATAGTGGAAAACAAAACTTGAATACATTGGCTTTTTTTAAAAAATGTAAACATAGTAATTTATATTAAGGTAAAGTTAACTTGTACTTTATTTTTTTTTTTTAATTTTTGAAAGAATACATTAAAATAATGATCCTGAAAATTTAAAGTTTATTAGTGTCGTATTTTAAAAATATTACGCTTGTTACAGAATTTTTATACTTCAAATTATTTAACTAGAAAGTACTTAATTTCTTGCAGAAGAAATTATTTTTAACCATTTTTTATTGTTAAGCGCTTTTATTAAAATTCTATTCCTGATCTAAAAAAATGAGCACACATCTTATCACATACCAAAATAAAAATTTTATTTCCGAAATTTACTTTTATAATTACCATTTAATTAAAAAACTTTTGCATTAAACATTTTTAATTAATAATATTTGCATTAAACATTATTATGTTGGTGAATTAAGTGTTATATATCGATATTGTTAAAGCAAGAGAAACACAAAAAAATTCCACGTAAACAAATATACTATAGTCTATAAGGAGGAGCCTTCAGCAAGATCTAATACATTAATTAATAGAATACATTAAAGTAATTGTAAGATACCGTTTCAAAAATGTACAATAATTATGTCAACCGCTCAAAAACAGGTTCCCATTTTCAAGACTTGCCAGACCGTGATTGAAAAGAAACAAAAGTGGTTTAAAATATTAAACGTTAAGCTGCCAACGAAAAAGGAAAAATATAGATGAAAAACAAAACTAGAAAAGCATCAGAAAATAGAACTTGTTCTGTTTTCTATCTTTTTTCTCTCACGACTACTGTGTTTTCTCTAGTTTTTGTTTTTCACCTTTATTTTTCCATTTCCGTTGCAACTTTACATTTTATATTTCAAATCACTTTTTTGCATTCATGTCTGGCAAGTCTTGATAATGGGCCTTCTGTACCATTCTGTACATTTTTAAAATGAATGATTTTTTTAAATCAAATACCGCTTCAATTTCTTGCGACTATTTTTTTAATAAGATCAAGTGTTCTCATCTTTCATACCGTGTTTGAACATTGATGAAGGTTCTGCTCTACAGAACCGAAACAAGTGTTTATTTATTTAAATGGTATTATTAATGGATTTTTTTACATTGTTCAGCTTTATTCTAGTAATACCACTCATATATATCTCTGAAATGAGTTTTACCTAAGCAAAAATACTTCTAATATTGCAAGCGGTGCTTGGCAACAATTCAATATTTACTCACAATGTTCCAAATATAGCATTAGGCTTCACAGAAGTTTAAAAAATGATCAGAAATGTTCGTTTACACACAATTTTTATAACATATCACCAAAAAAAATCTGCTCAAGGCATTTCTAAAATATTTGTTGATGAGCCTAGTTTTCTATATACTGATTTCTTTCGTTTAATTTTGACTGGTACACAATCTGAATCTTATCTCAAAGTGCTATAACGGTACAGTGCTGATACAATGCATTTTTCATTTCTGAAGCAGCGAGGAGTAAATCCCTGAGACTATGGCTGCCATCCGTGCTGAGAAGAGGATCAGAGGCAAAGGACCAAGAGGACATGATGTTGACTCCCGATGCAGAGAACGTGGCCTTGGAGACCTTCGACACCACCCACGTCCAGATCATGGATTTTCGGCGACCATGCCTCCTGGAGATGGACGACGTCACTCCCCCTCCAGCATCCACCCATAAAGAAATGGACGTCGTCTACAGAGGACTCACAGGAGCACCACTGGATGGACGATGGAGAGCTTCATCTTCCTTCAAAGAGAAAGGAACACTATCAGCAGGTAATTGATAGATTGACTGCTGAAGTTGGATTTCAATTTGTGTGTTGCCAAATTTTGTGTGTCAAAATTTTTCCCTCAGAAAAATTCTCCAAATCTGTTTTTCAAGTTTTTTTTTCCCCTTAGTGACCAAATTTGAAAACTTGTGCATGAAATTTCTAAGTATCTTTATGTTACCGCTTTAGAGTAGAAACCAGTTATTCTAAAGATTATACAGCTAATACTAATATAGCTAATAATAATAATCACCCTTTTTTACCTAGATAAATAAGGATGATTCGCTAAAGAGCCAAAAAATTTGTTTCATTTCTAAAATTACCTAGGTAATCTGCAAATTATCAGTATAATCTGCACATTACCTACTAGGCCAGGGATGGCGAACCAATGGCACGCGTGCCATTTATGGCACCCGACACAATATTTTGGGCACGCCACCGATCACATTTGTTATTACACTATGAATTGTTATTACTCAAATGATATTACACTATGAAGCATATGTAACAATTAAATTAAAATTCACAAAAAACACGCAAAATAATAAACAATTATTAATGAAAAAAATGAACAATTAATGCTAAAATTAACTGGCAATTAATAAAGCAATTAATAACCATAAAAAACAAGCTAACAATATATAATTAACAAAAAAATAAGCAGTCCTGCTTAAACTAACATCCTACAACTTAATATAAGTTACTTGTCATCTAATCTGCAACAACAGAAGTCACACTGATGTTACTTCAAGTTGAATTACGCGTATAACTGAAACATTGCAAAATGTTTTTTTTTCGATGTAAATAAAGAGTCTTGAGTTGATAGTATTTAGTATTATTATTTTCCCAATAATCACGAAGTCAAAACTATTTGACGGCACGTCTATGACTTCATCAAACAATGTTTTAGGAAAACTGGCACGTTGGTGTATAAAGGTTCGCCACCCCTGTACTAGGCTTCCGTTTAAGTGAAAATAAGATCGTAGCTGAAACAACAGCAACGTTTCTGTACGTTTAAATTAATAAAATGTTTACTATTCATATTTTTGCACATTTATTATTATTTATTATTTAACACATTAGTTGATATAATCAATCATCAATCACTTTAAGAACTATAATAAATAGAATCAATTGGTTTAAATAATATTAAAATTAAGGAAATTAACATAATGTCATTTATTTTTTTTCAGTGTGTAATGAATCAAAAATGAAATCAAATAATCAAAGAATTAGGTGATAGAGTAAGAGAAATAAACTTTTGAGCTTTAATGTCAGGGAGACCGTTAAAGAGTACATAGGTAAACTCTTGATTCTGTAGTTAATCGACAGATTATCTAAATAATGCACATTTATCTGCTATTTTTGAGTCTTAGTGGTAAAATATCAATTTAACAATTAAATTCAAAAATTATTAATCAGTTTCCTCACTTTCTTCGATAGGAAGAAATTTCCTTAAAAGAGCTCTCCAAAATTTTCTCAAAGTTCCAAATCCTAATCTCACAACACAATAATTTTTGTTTGTATCAACTTTTCAGGCTCTAATATTATCTCATGTCCTAAAGCTTTAAACCATTCAAGCACAACAAACTGATTAAACGTTAATTATTTTCATTATTATTATTATAGTATCATTTCAAGAAGTTATAATTAGTTAGTATTATTAATAGTATTTTAACTACTTTAATTGGTAATTCTTATTTAATTCAAGCAAAAAAACGATTGAAATAATTGTGGGCCTTTCGTCTTTCTCCTACTTGTTCAGCTATCGTTAAAGCATTTTTTTGAATCAGAAAGTCCCTATGCCTTTGTCTTTGATTACCAAGCCATTTTTTAAAATTAATTTTCTAACTAATGATTTCATTCATAAAAAAAATGGTAAAATCGATATTTTTAATGAAATCTTTTTCGTGTCATTCTTGTAATTAATTCTCATTATACTATTTTTATAACTTCTTGTAACGTATAATAACTAATTTACTAGCTATTTTCCTATTTAGAATTAAAATTTTATATCTTCAAAAATTATTGAACTGTATTTCAAATCATCCATTAGTGCCCAATCAAATATTAAATTATGTAATTTAAGTTATTTTTTCATCTTTAGCATAATAAAATTTAATCTTAAAATCATTTATCCTGCCATATATATTTTTTTTCAAGTTATAAACAGATATATAGCATACTAAAAATGTTTTAAAGTGATATAAGTTTTAAAAAACTAAAATAAAGTCCAGTGAAGTTGGAGTATATCAAAAATATACTAAAATGTAAAAGTTGCTCATTTGTGTTTCATCTTAATACATTAAAAACTATTTTGAAGTCAACATAATTTTGCTATTGAAAAGAAAGGATTTATTTTATACTGTCGGTAAGTTTTCTTTTGTTATCAGAAAAAGATTTTTTATGTGTATAGGTACTCCATTTTTGGTAAATTAGTAAAAACAGAACTAAAATTAGCAATTTCAATCCACTTATCTCCAGAAACTAAGGAAATGTTATGACACACAAAATACATTGTAAAAAGAGGGTTTCTTAAAATTAAGCAAAAATGTACCTAAATAGTTTCGAAACAAATAATAATCGAATTTGGAATCCCCATATATTCAAAATTTAAACAGCGTATACTTATTATCGAGTAAAATTCATAGTCTCAAAAGTGATGAAGAAGGAGAAATGTTCGATGGTTGTTGGCAGAATTCGAACCAAGGACCTCCGTATTCATAGTAGGGTGCTCTAACCATCATAATTGTACACCCCTGTCCAGGAAGAGTTAGGAAGCTTTATACAGTTGCCACCGCATTGGCGCATCATGATATGCTAATTGCCGATTTCATTGGTACAACGGGTTGTAATCTGTAAAATATGGTCCTAGTAGCTTAGTCTGGAGATGGGTAATTTTAATCGTAATGTATTCAAAATTAAAACAGCATGTGCGCATTTTGTAGAAACATGTATAATCTCAAATGTGATAGGGAGGGAGAACTGTATGTGAGAGTTGCTCGTTGAGCCGAAATCGAATCAGGACGTCCGGATTCGTAGTAGGATGTTCTAATCACCATAGATGTATGATACATAGCACAACGATACATCATTACATAAATATTTCAAATCTTAATAGTACAGATAGTTGTAATTTTGAAATTATGGTCCCAATAGCTTAGTCAGAACATTGGTTGCTAATTTCGCTACATCTTTAGTGATTGGAATGTATGCTATGATGAGTTATTGCGGTGGCCACTATATTAAGGTTCCTTACTTTCCCTAGACTAGAGCCATAGTGATGACACATCATGACCAGCAAATTTCCAATTTCAATGATACAACGGGTTGCAATTTGTATAGTATGGTCTCAATAGCTTAGTCTGGAGATCGGTAATTTTAATTCCACTTTTTACTTATTTCATTATATCTTAAGAACTTAATAGCAAATGGAATGTATGTTGTGATGTACCATTGCGGTGGCCACTGTTTAAAGCTTCATAGGACGTAGAGCTAAGGCAGGTAGAGCTTGGAACCCGGATGATCTTGATTCGAGTCTTATCAGCCGCCAATGAACATCTCTCTCCGTATAACTTTTGAAACTATATATTTATCTCAAAAATGGGTGGTATAAGATGTTTCAACTTTGAATACATGGAATTTTCACAATTGATTGTATTTGTTTCGAGTCCATTTTAACATATTTTTAATCAATTTTGAGCTCATAAGTTGAAAAACACTTAATCCATAAAAATTAAAGAAATTCTTATGCTTAAATGTGATATTCAAACTCATTATTGTAATTATCAAAGCACTGTACAATAAGAAGTCCTTAACAGAATTTAAAGCTTTAAAGTAAAATTACACTTTCTATCAACTAAAAATAATTCACATTATTTGACAGGAAATTTGATCTCATATTATTTGCTGAGAAATTTGATGTTACAAAACTTTAATAATTAAAATATTGTAACTTTGCCTTATATTTAAATTAATTTATTTTTAATGCTTTTTATTTAAATTTTGATTATTTCATGCATGTATTTTAAATGTATTATGTTCTGTGTTTAATCAGCCTTAAAATAATTTTTAAACTTATTTAGTGTTATTAATTTTGTACTAGGATTTTTTCATGCGTCTGTCAGATAATTCAACATTTCAGTGTCATGAAACTAACCTTTTTCAATGCTTAATTTTATGTTGAATGTAACTGTATGTTAAAATGCATGTTTGTGTATCATAAAATTATGTACCATAACATATGACAAAATTTTAGAACTGTTTCATATTTATTCTCCTATAATCCACAGCAAGGGAGCACTTAATTTCGCAAAATAAATCAAATCCAGCAGGAATCACATTAAATTAAAAAGAGAATCGATTTTGAATCCATCATTCAAAATGAAAATATTCAATATATATATATATATATATTTTACACCGTTGGATATTTAATAAGTACTGACCACAAATGGCTTAATAGCACATAAAAATTAAGCGTAACTAACTACCAAGTTAAATGAAAGAAAACCAAAATGTTAGGACATTAATGAAAGATAATTTACTGTGCTCTGAGACCCAGATGGTTTAAAATGTGTTCAAGGAACAAAGTAGCCGTTTTGTACTGAAAACGTGAAAATGAAAAAAAATG